AAACACAAATTTTTCTTCAGAGAACTGACTCTGCATGTAAAATAAGACTGCATTCACTCCCAAACGGATGGTGAATGGTTTAGAAAATGTTATCTCTCTAATTGAGTTAATTGTACATTCTTATTTACGCCTGACTTCTTTTGACTGCATATTTATTTACTGACATGAAGGCGGGGGAGTTAATACGTTTAAACGTCTTTCTGTCAAATTTCAAAATGATTTGTGTACATTTTTCTCCTTGTTTAGTTAATTTTACCTTTAGGCAAAAAATATGTTTTTCAAGATAAATATTTAATCTTTTTTTTTTATGTTACAGGTGTTTTAGCACTTCAACGATATTCCATCACTGATCCAAATCCCTCCTGTTCTAACCTCTCCTCCTCTTTTGTTGCCATCAGGTTCCAGCTCTTGCCCACTGAGGGGCAGTTTGTCCTGAGGGGCTGATCGGGCCGGGGGGGCTAAAGGTGGGACGGACAGGGCTCTGGCAGAGGGAGAGTTTTACTCTGGTAGCTGTCAGCCACCCCCCACCTCCCCCCCCCCCACCCCCCACCCCCCCGGTCTCCGTGCCCCCTCCCTCCTCTGGCCTTTCCAGCGTATTGATCAGGGACAGCGAGGCGGAGAGGAGAAAACGCGTTGTGATGTTTTGGCAGGTGAGAAAGAGGAAGGCACGAAGACTGATACAGAGAGAGGAGAAGAAGACAGGGTGGGAAATGGGGTGAGAGGAAGGCAGAGGGGAGAGGTGGGCTGTGAATTTTCCATTAAAAGAGCCGGCTGCGGCGGGCCCAGAAGAAAAGAGAGAGACCGGGGGAGAAGAGAAAGGGGCAGAGATGAGTTAACGTCTCCATCAAACCCCGGACGCACAAACATCCACGCCGCTCAGAGTCGATAAAAGCTCCGGGAATTGCTGAAATAATCCGGCTGGATCCGAACACCTGAGGCAGCGAACCAGCCGAAGAGGCTTTCTGAGCCTAAAGAAATATAAATATTCATTCTGCAGGGAACAGAAATGGATTGTTGGTGGAAAAGCCTCCGACATTTGTTTAGAAAAGCAGAGAAATCTACTTTAAATTTTGAGATGCTAAATGCAACATTTAGATTAGCTTTAGGTTTACTTTAAAAGCGTCTGCGGCCTGTCTCAGCTGCCATTGGGCCGACGCGTTTCCCCTGAACTTATTCAGAATCCCAAATCAATAAGAAGAGAAGCCAAAAGCTGTAAAAAAATATTCAACATTTTGTCTCTATTTCATGAATCTAAAATCAGAATGAATTTATTTCAGCTACTTCAGTTATAGTAAAATCTGCTGTCAGTTAGCACTCACAGAGGGTTCTGGATTCTAGTCCCGGGGGAACCAGGACCTCTCTGGGTGGAGTCTGCATGTTGTCCTGTGTTTGTGGGTTCTCTCCGGGTTCTCCGGCTTCCTCCCACCGTCCAAAAACCTGCATGTTGATTGGACTCTCCAAACTGCCGTTTGGAGTGAGTGTGAGTGGTTATTGGTCCTTGTGTGTCTCTGTGTGTTCCTGTGATGGACTGGGGACCGTCCAGGGTGACCCCGTCTCTCCCCATTGGCTACTGGGGTAGGCTCCAGTCCCCCCCCCCAGACCCCATTAGGAAATAAGGGGTAATGATAATGGATGGATGGATGCCATCAGCCTTCGAGCTGAAGCTGAGCAGACAGTTTCCCTTCATTTCTTTGGCTTTTCCCACTTTTTGTGCATCGGAAAAGAGCCCCGAAATGAAAGCAGAATCCTCGGCCTCTTCGATGAAGAGAAAATCAGACGGAAAACGGGTTCAGCCGGAGAGGAGCGGCAGCCCGCGCCAGACAGAGCTGCTCCACCCTTCAGAAGGCTTGACCTTTAGGCGAAAGAGCAGGACGGCGTCTGACAGAAATCTGCCAGGCATTTCTGCCTCCGTCTGTTTGTATGCTAATCAGCCCCGTTTGCGTACAGGAAGGAGAACTGTGAACACCGTGTGAG